TAATTGCACATTCGATACTAATTAAATAAAATTCATGCATGATACGTAACACAATGTGTATATTTTTATTTTATCGAAACCAAATGGATAAAATAATGACGGAAGGAATTTAATAACAAAGTGGACCAAATCAGACTTTTATTTATTTAATGTAACGATACACGAAAATTTTTTTACGGGACATTTAATTTCCGGAATCGTAAACAAAAAATTGGAGAAAATCCTCGATCTAGCCTCCGTTTTTTCCCGGTCGAGAAATCGGAGATCTGATAAGAAATCCTGGGTTCCTAGTTGTCGTATGCATCTGCATAAATCTACATTAATAACCAAGATTTAATGGCGAATATCCTTACGGTGATTCCGCCGTCAAGGATTGAAAATTCAGTTCGGTCAACCAAGCAGTCGCGATGTCTGCCCACTCCACTTATACTTATACCAACGAACCCCTTTTACTTTTATTCCCAGCTTTCTAACGAACGAATTGTTGCATTTTATACCCGCGTCATTCGCGAGCTATTTCCGCTTGAGAAATTCCATCTTACAAATTGGACGTCTTTACATTTTTTTCTTTTCTCGAAACATCTGAGAATTCGCCAGGATTTGAAAGTCTAATTGCGTTTCTCAAATTTAATTTAATTTAACAGAATAATAGCCCAAGTGACAAAGGCCGTGATTTTTTCAGCTCATACAAGGATTTTATATCACTTGATACTTATTTTAATCATTTTTTATAGAATATATTCGGTCAATTTGCTTATTAGACTAAATGGAAAAAAATTTATTTTAAAATTGCCGTCAGACGTTTCTTATGGGGGAAATACGTGTAGAGCGGTGTATTTCTGCTAATTTTCATGAATTTTTTTAATATATAAAAAATATATATTTTTTATTGAAATTTTGGAGTTATTTAAAACGTATACTTAAGAATATTTTCTGAAATTTTCAAATATGTTTCTTGCAAAATCCCGAAGATATTGCCGCGTATTTCAAGTCTCGATTTATCTAAGCAATTTGTATATACCCCCCGATAGAGATTTGCCGTTCAGAATCTGAAGAAATTATGGTGCCGCGACAAAATATCCGCGGACAAAATAACCGCGACAAAATAACCGGACGACAAAAATAACCGCGGACAAAATAACCGCAGATAAAATAACCATGTGGAATTACAACCACGTTACAAAATAACCGAACGACAAAATATTTTAGAAAAAAATATTCTTTAATAAACACACAAAAAATCCATGATAGAAAAGGCACAACATGGCAACAATCTCATGTGTTGATCTAATATCGAATAAATACACACAAAAACCATGTTAAAAGGGCACAACACGATTACCCGCGTTTGTGTTGATCTAATGTCGAATAAATACACATAAACACGATGTTAAAAGAGCACAACACGATTACCCGCGTTTGTGTTGATCTAATGTCAATTAAATACACATAAACACCATGTTAAACGAGCACAACTCAGCAAAAATATTATGTGTCGGCCTTTTTAAAAAGGCACAACAGTGGCAACAATCTCATGTGTTGATCTAATATCGAATAAATACACACAAAAACCATGTTAAAAGGGCACAACACGATTACCCGCGTTTGTGTTGATCTAATGTCGAATAAATACACATAAACACGATGTTAAAAGAGCACAACACGATTACCCGCGTTTGTGTTGATCTAATGTCAATTAAATACACATAAACACCATGTTAAACGAGCACAACTCAGCAAAAATATTATGTGTCGGCCTTTTTACAAATAAATATACATAAAATCCATGAAAATAAAGGCACACTACAATTTCTAATTTATGTATCTTTTAAAAATTCGCGGGTGATGATGTTAGATTATTTTGTAACGTGGTTATAATGTCACATGGTTATTTTATCTGCGGTTATTTTGTCCGCGGTTATTTTGTCGTCCGGTTATTTTGTCGTTCGGTTATTTTGTCCGCGGTTATTTTGTTATGGCACCATTTTGAAGAACTTTATCTTCTTAATTTGAGTACAAAAATTCTTAAGGTAGTACTACCGGTTTTAGAACTGACGTTCAGAATTTAATGAAATTTGGCATATTGGTACTTTATAATATCATAATTAAGCAGTAAAATTTTTGGAAGCCGAGCAAGTCCTGAAAAAAAGATATTAATATCTACATATTTTTGCTTTTACCATTGATCCTTATGGAGAATCACAGACTTTATTTTATTTCACAAAACTGGACGTTCAGATTCTTATAAAAATCAAGACAACGAGAGGAAATAACATCTAGAATATTTTTAGTAACAATCAGTATGGTTTCCAAGAATATGAGAATATTTATTAATAAAAAACATTCAAAATTTATCTCTGTCTCTCTTTCTCCAACGTAATTTAGTATAGGGAAATCTACTACGTTAATCAAATAAGGTTAGGTTTTGGGATTTGACACTTGTGGTAACGGTAGTACTACCTTAAACCAAAAAATTTTAAGTAAATTTTACTTGATTCAAGAATTTTTCGTCTTGATTCTAGAAAATTACCCTCTTCACAATTATTTTCTTGGTTCAGGAATTTTCCTCTTAAATCAAGTTAATTTTTTTTCCAGTGTATCAAACGCTACGTTTTATTATATAATGTAATTTTTTTTTTTTTTCGTGTGAGATATAATGCGGTTCTTTTATTTATTACCATATTTTAAATAAAATTTACGAAAAAATTCATTCATTTTATGGTAGACTCCATAAAGTTTACCGAAAATCTAACAAAACTTACGTTAGATTACGGTAAAATTTATTGAAAAAAGGTTAAAAATTATCTCACTAACCGACAAATGATTAGGTTGTGTCATCCGTCCCACAATTACCATGAATTTAACAGTAATTTTTAAAGAAAATTTCTTTCAGTGTAGTAAATTGTAGTAAGATAATACATAAGAAAACCAGTAAAAAAATATTGAGTTTTAAAAATATTAGAGTTAAATATAGTCTCATTAGAAATAACAGTTTTTATTTTATTTTACAAAAAGTTCAGATTTAAATAAAAATTTAGGTGATGAAAAAAAAAAATAACATATTGAATCCTTTATGTAATTAAAAGCACAGATTTAGAGCAGTGATAGTAATGATTGATAAAATAACTTCAAAAAATTATCTCTGTCTCTCTTTTTCTAATGCGACTTTGCATAAGAAAATCAACTACGTAAATCAAATAAAGCTTTGTATGGTACATTTGACATTTGTGGTCTGGTACTACCTTACATGAATTTTTCAGAAGAGTTAATATTTTTTTATAAGTCTTTCTCTTACTTGAAATTTAAATTTTACAAAAAATTCGGAAATTTATATTTTTCTAAGGAATGTAGAAATTAAGTACGATTTCTGTACTTTTTTTTTGCAATTAAAAATGAAGATATCGTTTAGAATTGAAGTAAATTTTTTCCACAATGACGTATAATCCTTAAAATATCATGATTTATTTATCAAGAATATTCTATCAATTAATAACACCAGACTTGAGGAAGTAAAGAGTAATGAATTTATGATTTGAAATAATATAATTTAAATTTTGCATCAGCTATTGGAGCAGGGTATTGAATATAATGATATTCCCGTTAATTTAGGAAACAAGCTCGGAGCTGTAAGCGCCGGCGGAACAAAACACCGGAGTACTACTGAGTTGATTTCCTGGTGATTCTAGTCTGGCAGAAGCAAAGCCCTCGGTGATCCTCTCTCAACAGCTAGTGATCTACCAATTTGACGGGCAATCGTGAACCCAGTTTTAAAGCTCGATTCGTTCACTTTGGAACACGCGAGTACAAACCACGATACGCCAACCACCAACTAGTTAGGTAGGTCACTGTGATACTGTGTAACTGCAAAGCGATAGAATTTAACGGACATTGCCCTCAAGCTGAGCCCTAGGCCAGGACTCTAGTTTGGAAATTTCGTCGCTTGGAAACTTTATTCGATCTTCATTTTTGGATAAATTGGAAAACAATTGAAATTTGAGAAAGAATTAAGTGAATTATTATTATATTATTATTATTATTATTAATGGTTTTTTCATATTTTTAATTACACTATACATAGTTTGAGTACTTTTTAAATAAATTTAAAAAATAGAAGTGCTATCACAGGATCAATTACAAATAATTTAATGGGAAAATGTGACGGAACAAATTTATAGAACCAACAAACTATTCAAAACTCCTCCAAAAACTTGGTTGAAATTGCATCACTGGTTGGAATCAGTGAACGTCCACTGGTGAACCAGTGAAATTCCACTGATTCCTTTTAAGAGAGTACTACTAAAAAATAAATAAAACCAAAAGGCATTAATTCTTATCAAGACCTTTCTGATGATACAAAATTTAACTATAAAAAAAAATTAGGAAAACGGTTGACCCTAAAGGCCATCCCTGCAACTTCCCGCTACCTCCATACAACACGGAGAAAATAAAACAGCAATGATTACTGTTTCGTACAAATATTAGAAAAATGTTCATAGTCAGTAGTGAGCGTTGTACGAAACACGACTCAGTAGTGTGCAGACAATAGTCAGTAGTTTTTATATATAGCGCTCTCTACTGTCCCAAACATTCTAACCTTATTTTCTTTCAAAGCAGTACTGAGTACTACACAAAGTAGTAATCAGAGTTGTTTTTTTTCTCCGTGAACAATTTACTTATTTTTTAAGCTCTTCGAGCTCAAAAATATAATTTTTGTGTAATTTTGAGCTCTCCGAGCTTCATATAAAAGATACATATATAAAAAAAGTAATTTTTCTGTGCCATTGATTTCAAATAAAAATTGTGGCTTCTATCGTATACACCAACTGCTAAGTCGGATGACAACCTACGATGTGTATCACCTGCACGGAAAAAAGAAAACTCGAAAAATTACAGTATATAATGCAACGTAGCGCTTCGTGATGAAAACTGGAAAAATTACAGTTTCTAATGTAATTATTACCGATTTTGTAAGAATTACATTAAATGAATGTAATATTTACATTGAAAGCTCTGAATATTAAATTAAAAAATTGAATTTAGAAAAATGTTATTTCAAACTGTAATTTTTCTAGTTTTGATTACGGCTTCGTGATGAAAACTGGAAAAATTACAGTTTCTAATGTAATTATTACCGATTTTGTAAGAATTACATTAAATGAATGTAATATTTACATTGAAAGCTCTGAATATTAAATTAAAAAATTGAATTTAGAAAAATGTTATTTCAAACTGTAATTTTTCTAGTTTTGATTACGACAGGACCGATTTTACATTTTATACTTTAATTTTTCGAGTTTTCTTTTTTCCGTGTGATATCTTCAGTACTTTTAAGTCATATTTTTGTAAAATATGAAAAAATACAGCATGAAAACATCCTTCTACACGTTTCCTCCCTTAAAAAAGCATATACAGAAAAAAAAATTTACTTGAATCAAGTAAATAATTTTGAAAAACTTAATCTTCTTGATTTGAGTTGAAAAATTCTTAAACTAAGAAATTTTTCTTGGCTTAAGTAAATTTAACTTGATTGAAGAATTTTTCGTTTTGATTCAAAAGAATGAATCTTTTTAAAAGTATTTTTTTGGTTCAAGAACTTTTCTCTTGATTCAAGATAATTTTTTTTTTTCTGTATGCGAAACATTGAAACGGTATAAATTCAGGTCAAGACTTTTCCAACTATATTAAATTTAATTTAGAATACTCATTTTATCATATAAATACACCGGAGGCAAAATGTTTCTTATTCTCTTAATTATAGAGACTGTTATTATTATTTGCAAATAAAATTTCAATCGCTTACGATAATTTCGATGGATTTGAGAAGATAGAAATCGAGATTTTAGATTTGAAATTGTGGAATAAATGCCAGCGAGATAAAGAAAATAAGGAAGGGGATAAATGTTACGAGACTGGGTTCTTAAGATTTAACTTTAGTGAATCGCGAAATGGCAAACGTGGGGAAAAAAAGGTTGCTGGAGCTAGAAGCGGGAATAAAAAAGAGATTGAGGTGACGGGGCCGGAAACGAGGGGATAAACTTGTGCGAAGGTGGTAGAAGTAACGAGAGTGAAAAAGTAAAATTTAAGTTAAGATACTCACCGAAGATTGGGTTCCCACGGATCGTAGCCAGTCCGCCGAGAGTCAATACGTGGGAGTGGTCAGCCGTGACCACCAGAAGCGTCTCCGAGAGGTCAACTTCTTCCATAACCGCTCGAACTGCTTCCTCCATCGCAAGGGTCTCATCGAGGGCTCGGTAAGCGTTGTTGTAATGATGCGCATGGTCTATCCTTCCACCTGAAATTAGTTTTATTGTATTAGTATATTTTCGAAAGTTTATTTTTTAATATAAACTTTAATGAAGTTTATCACATAAACTTTCTTCTTCTTAATATTCATGTCGCTTTTTGTATTTTTCCTTTTTTTATTTTTTAAATATAGTTACACTTCAATTAACTATTCAAATATTTAATGTACAAATTCCTAGGATCGTTTAACGAGACCAAGCATGTAGAATTTTTTTGCATAATTGTTGCTTTTAAAACATCGATACATTTTTTAAGCTTATTAACCTTTATTTAAACATATTATTTCAAGAATTTATCGATTCGGTTTAATAATAAATTAACTTTCGATTATTACTTTTAGTGTTATTAAGGAGATCCAAGTACCCTCCTAGTGTAAAGAATGTCTATAAAAAAATAATACGTAGAAGTACTTTTGTTATGCATCTAAAAATTAATTTTTAAATTAATTAACAACATTTTTGAGGAAATTTCCGAAAAATTTACTCATTAAGGAGGTCCTTTCGCCACCAATGATAAATAAAAAATATTAGATTATAAGTAAATTTAATTTTTTTCTAATAGTTAAGGTCCTTATTAATCTAATAGTAAGGTTTAAATTATACTTTACCGGACAAATTTTTGAAAAAATCAAATTTCTAAATGTTAGTATTTGTTCAGAGTCTTACGAGAAAGTCACACTATTTTTTGAATAAATATTAAAAAAAAAATTGATTTTTGAACAGCCCGCCGTTGCTTGAGAGAAACTGTAAATGGAAAAAAATAAACTGTAATATTCACTCGGATTCCGGTTAATTTTTATAGTTTCAAACAGTAAAGCGGACATTGGGGTGGCAAAAATATAAATATTACAGAACTTAATTTAAAAAGTATAAAAGCCACAATTTATAATTTAATATCCAAAATAAGTAGTCGTCACTATTGTGAATAACGATTCTTTCATCTTAAAAAATTACAGTTTCAAACAGTAAAAATTGCCATTTCAATATATAGTCCATATTATGAGGAGAAGGGGAATTCAGATGAAAGAGAAGAGGGTCTCACTCTGGTAGAATTTAACATTTGAAACAGTAAAAATTATACTTTTAAAATATACATTTTACCAGTCCAAGCAAGTCAATAATTACAGTTTGATTTTTAGCGTTGCGTTTAAAATTTACTATTTTACTTTGTAAGTTATTGACGTTGCTTGTATTAGAAATTTACTAACTTTATTTTATACTTTTTACATATCATAAGATCATTTTTTAGGTACGAAATGATAAATATCAAAGTCTGAATTCTTAATTATTATACTTTAACATTTTAGACATTTTCATAGCGAATATTTCTGTTTGAAATAGTATTTTCTTCCATGTAAAGAGTAAATTGTAACGTTTAAATGGTAAATATTATATAGTGAATAGGGTAGAAGTACCGTTTGTGGCCACTGTACCATTTATTGTTTAAATAAACGATAGAAATGAATTTATATTAATAAACCATTACAAACTCAATTTGTTTCAATATAATTTTTTTAAAACTCAACAAAGATATCGTTATATTATTATAATTTTTTATAAATTAATTAAAATGTTAACTGGCCAAAAACGGTGCTAAGGTGGCCAAAAATGGTACTTCTACTCTAGTAAAATCACGATTTTACTGTTTAAAATGGTAATTTTTAGCAGTTGATCATTACTTATTATAAATCGACTGTTATTTATTACAGTTTACTTTTTTCCGTGTACAGTCTGGTAGAAGTATACTACCGCGCCACCTTCCGATGAGTTCGAACAACACTTGACAATCCCGTAAGACAAGTACAATCTTACTTCTATTCACCCGTTGAATAAATAAATATTTTTAGCAAAAAAACAGTCCGAGCGATCTGAGGGGGAGAAAATACCCCGTCAACGCCCGAAATATATTAATTATAATCAAACAAATTAATATTGAGGTAAGATTTTCAAAAGGGTTCTTCTCGTTGATTACACGGAAGGATTTGAAGTGAAATTGAATTGAAAAATAGTAGTTTTCAAAAGTTATAGTGTTTACAAAGCTATTATTTCTCTTGAAATTTCGTCATAAGTCATTGAAACAACCATTTTATAAATAAATTTTAATTTATTGATTTGAAAATGTTTTGAGTCAATTTATTAAACATTCTTCTCAATCTTTATTTACTCAAATAAAATAATATGCATACGGGAATTTACGAAACTTTTCTTATATGCAATATCTATAAAAAAAGAAGCGCGGAAATAAAACTCCTTAAAACATCGATAAAATATCATCCCGAGAAGGAGTTGTAGGAAATGAAATTTCCGTTTGAAAGATTTCAGCTCATCTACCCGTGACGATAACTAAGAAACTACGGGGTATAAAAAAGATAAAAACCATCTTCTGAATTGATATAAAACAAAAAGTAAGAAGCGAAAATTTGTTTATCTAAACTTTATCAATAATGAATTGAAAGTTCATCAAAGTGCTCGATAAATCATAATTAAAATGCAAGCAGTAAATTAATGGAAGATCCGGGAGATTGATAAGTTGAAGCCTTGTTTAATACGTCGGGTGGTAGTTTATCTACTACCCTCTACCCAACCCCGGGAAAATCAGCTTCGATGAGATAATAATAGCTGGAAAGTTATAAAACAACGGTTATAGTTATAGTGATAGTTGAATACAGCTTAGAAGAATACAGTTAAAAGATTTTCATCTGGATTCTCTTTTCACGAGTGTCGAATTCACTCTCAAGTTTCACTCCCAGGACATACTATTCGTGCCAAGAATGTTTAGGAGTTTCCTCTTTGGACGATTGACAACAAATCGGGCCATCTATTTCTCAAGGATCCTTATACTGTTCCAGGAATCAACTCGAGCGGTGAAGCAACAACTAACTGCTGAGTGATTTATTTCAGAAGCAACTTTTTCAATTTACATTTACCTCCTTCTCTCTTTCGTTTATCTCTCTTTATCTTTCTGTTATTTAAATCAACACTTCGACGCTTTTTAATTTACATCTGCTCCAGATTTGCATTTGAACATTTAGGAATAATAACTAAATCAAACTTTATTTTTAAAGAGTCAATACAGACAGCTTTTTATGTCGATTTTCATTGATTTGAAATTATTAGTCAAAATTTAATACTATGTTACGATACGAGCTCTCTAAGATAGTCTGTGTAGTAGTGATGAGCTGTTTTTTTCTCATTGGAAATATTTATATTAATATATGTCTCCATCAATTTAATTTGCAATTATATTCATAGTTATCTCTATAAATATTATAACATGTCGACAGTTTTAGTTTAAAGTCGTTAATATTTAGTCTTTACTGCAATTTTAACTTTATTATTGACAGAGATAATTTATTTGAATATTCCCAGGTGATGTTAAAACTATTACTAGATGGCGGCACTCAAGATGTCCTAAATTATTTAGACACAAGTGCAAACAATAACCTCGTATCTCACTAAATTCCATGTATTTAATTAATTAAATGTTTTTAATTGTTAATTTTCATTTCAATAATAAGAGAAAAATTAACTTTATGCTTAAAAAAAACAAAATCTCAAACATATAAAAATAAAAAAGTTACGTTTTTTGTCTCTTCCAAAATGTTTCATTTTTCGGCATACGAGGTTCTGATAATGAGCCGTCGATTTCTTACCTACTTTTTTCATGAAAATTTACATTAATTATTTTTTGAATAGTTTTCTTACTAAATATTAATAAATTAATGCGCTAAACAGCCAAAAATCATCAATTTAGCTTTGTAACGCTCAAATTATAGGTTAAAAACCTTCAAAATGGCTTCTCGCTTGCCATTGGTTCATTAAATGACGTTATCAACTCACCAACTAACGCCATTGGTTAATCAAATCACTTAAACAGAGAATTTGCCTCTAGCGCTATTAGCGCGGAAAATTTGAATCCAAATTCAGACTTTTGAGCAATAATTCGAGTTTATCTTAAATTATTTAGACATAAGTGCAGACAATAACCTCGTATCTCATTAAATTCCATGTATTTAATTAATTAAATGTTTTTAATTGTTAATTTTCATTTCAATAATAAGAGAAAAATTAACTTTGTGCTTAAAAAAAAAAAAACAAAAGCTCAAACTTATAAAAATAAAAAAGCTACAATGTTTTTTGTCTCTTCTAAAATGTTTCATTTTTCGGCATACGAAATTCCCATAGTGAGCCGTCGATTTCTTTTCTACTTTTTTCATGAAAATTTACATTAATTATTTTTTGAATAGTTTTCTTACTAAATATTATTAAATTAATGCACTAAACACCCAAAAATCATCAATTTAGCTTTGTAACGCTCAAATTCTAGGTTAATAACCTTCAAAATGGCTTCTCGCTTGCCATTGGTTCATCAAATGACGTTATCAACTCATCAACTAACGCCATTGGTTAATCAAATCATTTGAGCAGAGAATTCGCTTCTAGTGCCACTAGCGCGGAAAATTTGAATTCAAATTCAAACTTTTGAGTAATAATGCGAGAGTTTTCATAAAAATGTATGAGATTCGTTCTACAATAACGAAAATGTCGCCTGACAATAAAAAGAAGTTACAATGTTTCTGTCTCTCCTGAAAAATGTCATTTTTCGACATACAAAGTTTTGACAGTGAATCGTCAATATAAGTAACTTAGATATTAAAAAATTTACTAGCAAAAGTTACAAATCATAAAACTGACTGTAAATTCTCCAATTAAAAGCCCGACAGTCAATAGAAATTCCAGTAATAAAATCAACAAACACTCGGTAACTTGACAAAGAAAAGAAACTAACTCAGGAAGAAAAGAAAAAAAGCCGGGATCTTGTTATCAAAGTATGTCCTCCGTTTTATATCTTAATACGATCAAGTTTTCTCGGAGTTACTAGTAGAAAATTTGGCTCGCTGGCATGTAAAGTTTAAGTTTAGCTTACTAAAGTGCAATAGAGTGCCATGTATCCAAGCGGAGGACAAAACTTTATTCATTTTTTTTTACTTTTGGTCCTTTCTTCCTTTATGCTCTTCATTTTTTTTTCTTCTCGGTCTATTTTTAAACGCATAAACCCGACAAAATTCACGACTCTAAATGTACCATAGCTTACAGTGCTGAAACTTTTTTATTGAAGGCAATTAAAAAGTTGTGCCAACACAACCATGGCTTTATTGAATTTTTAAACCTACTGAGAAATTTAATATATCCGACAATTTATAACTATCACTTCGGATTTACGCGCTTTAGACGAATCGAGTATTAATCCGCTCGATAATTATGTCAACGCTTTTATAATCAAATTTAGGGTAGATTTTTTCTGAAATAAACTTTTTATGTATGTGAAAAAATTGAATATTACCTTGTACATAGCAAAAAAAATTTTCTTGTCTCAAGAACAGTTTTCTTGACTTAAAAACTTCTAGAAGAAGAAAATCAAAATTTTGATTGTTTGAATATTTTGTTTTTGGTTTTAAATATTTTGATTTAAAAGTTTCCAATAATTAAACAAAGTAAAATTATTTTTTAGTCAATATTTTTGATTTCTCAATGCTAGAGATATTTTGCTTACTTCAAAACCAAAAATCTTCACTCAAAAACATTTATGTTCTTGGCTTCAACAATTAAATAGTGCTCTTGGTTAGTTTTTTTTTCTGTGCACTGTAATATAAATTATTACTATTACTGAAAAGGATAAAAACAAATAGTTACCTTCAACAAACAAGAAAAACCCTTTGGGATTCCGTTTGAGAATCCTGAGCGCTTTGATCGTCATTTCAGCGAGGGATGGGTCTCCGGTTCCGGTGGTGTTGCGATCGACGTCAAAATCCATGTGCGAGTAAGCAAATAATCCTGGTAACAAAGTAACCGATTGAGGTGTATTAGTGCGTCTAAATTGAACACCGTTGCTCGAAAAGCATTCGAATGCAACATTCAGAATAATTAACGGGGATTCAGCAACCGTTCCAAAGTCTACAATTAGCAAGGCGTAAACTTTCCATCCAAGTGTAAGTGAGTTAATTAAAATCTGTCCTCTAGGACCTGAGCTTGCTATATACAATCTATACTCTACATGTAATTTCAGCTGACATTTTAATTAATAAATGTTAAACAAGCTATTAAGTGTCATTCGAAACCAATTTACACGTAAAATTCGCCATTTTGTTTCACATCGATATGTGACTCGTTATTTTATCCATTTGGTTTCGATAAAATAAAAATATACACATTGTGTTACGTATCATGCATGAATTTTATTTAATTAGTATCGAATGTGCAATTAAAATAATTTTTCACTCACCCAAGAGATAATTGACCCGCGCCGGATCTATTTCGTCGAATTGCTCTTTTGAGTACACGTACTTCGCCGCCATGTTTTGGTGGTACTTGGTCCACTCTGTTATTAAATTTCTCCCGTCAAGTCGGCGGCCTTCTTTTTCTGGCTCTTCGGGGTCTTGAGCTACTTTTGATACAAAATGTCTTCTACCTCCTCCCAGTATTACCTTTAATGACAAATTACAATTTTTATTAATTATTTTAGTGTATTAAATACTACTAGCAATCTGCAGTTGCTATATCACTGCTGAAAATTACGAACTATGAATAAAAAATACTTTTGCTTAGTTAATTTTCGATATTGTTGATGACAATATACATAGTTTCAGTACTTTTTAAATAAATTTTAAAAATAATATTGCTATGACGAATCAATTAAAAATAGATTAATGGAAAATTTTACGGTATAAACTTATAGAACCGACAAACTATTCAAAAATCCTCCAAAAACTTGACATAGAAAATTTATTATCACCAAAAAATATATAAAATCGTGAAAAGGTACAAATTCAGGTCAATACCTTTCTGATGATACCAAATTTAACTATAAAAATCTCATTTGAAATAAAAACTATGCACACCACAAAATTTTCTTTATTCGCTTAATTATTTAGATGATCAATTGACTATCGTCGAAAAAATATCAAACGGGGAACAGTCACAAATTCAGGGTACGACCTTTCTAATGGTACCAAATTAAACTGTAGAAACCCATTTTGTAATAAAGATATATCCGTCAAATTTTCCTTATTCTCTTAATTACATAGACAATAATAGTTTGTTCCTCTAAGGATGGATTTGTTATTGAAGCCGAGTTTAGTTCTCACACTATCAAGGTTTCTAATCGATATGCAATCACATGATCCAGTGTATTATCTTTCAACTTGGAAAAGTGAGGTTAGAGTAACACATTACTAAGGTCTTGCTACATTTGATCTTCGATCACTACTTCTATAGCTAAAAATATCAAATCATTATTTTTAGCAAAATAAATTTTCACAATACTGATGATTGTTAATGAAATTATCTCTAATATTCAAAAATTTTTAAGTGAAGTTAATCTCTAGTTATTAACTTAATGTTCCTTGAAAACTCAGCGGTTTAACCTCTCAACTACAGAAGATCCAGTTAGTTTAAAGTGTAAACTTAACTTCTGGTTAACCGACAGTATTGACGGAAAGTATATAAAATAAAAATAAAGTAAATATTTACTAAAATATAAAATTACTTACATTAATATTACGTCCTGGTTCATCTTCCAGAAGTTGTCGAGCGATATCTTTACAAGAAGCCCGCGCTGCTGAAGGCACTTTACTATCATCTTCCCAGTAACGACTTGAAGCATGAGCATACAGCGCTGCCGGCGTAGCATGAGTCACACGAGTTGTTGTTACCATCCCCGTGGATTTGCCTGTAAGAGAATCACAATTACAAAATATACAGGTTACTTATCGCTAATTTTTGTGTTTTGGGTCTAGAAAAGCGAGTAAATTATCAAGATGCTCGTAGAACAAAAGATAAAACTGGTTTTTCTGGCATCGGAGACGAATTTGAGCATGTAGCCATTTGTAGGTTACGTATGCGGATATGGATACATGTGTGTGTGAATAGTTGGGCGTAGCGGTCGTAAATAAGAAATTGAATGGAGAGGATTAAATGGGTATAACAAACGGGATAAACGTAAGAGAGTGAAACTTGGTTGTTATATATCTGCAGGACATCCATTACTCTGTCAGTGTAAAAGTAAGTGTGCAGATAACCTGTGCTTTGGTTGTACGCGAACTTGTATTGTACTTCCAGTGTTGTATCGCGCAGTACAGTACGTCAGTGCCAAACGGCGTGTGTGATTAATCAGCAGGGGTGATTCATCCTAACAACGGAAATTGACGGGTACCTGTGTTCTGTTCCGGTAATTACATTAATTTACTTATTTATATCTTTTTACATTGATACTGATAAGAAAAAAAATTTGGAAAACAGTTGACCCTAAAGGCCATCCCTGCAACTTACCCCTAATTCCATATCTAAGCGCTTGAAATTGCACTTATGACGTTTTTGAGTTCAAGAATATAATTGATACGTCATTTCAAGCTCTCCGAGCTCAAAGAGTTAGCTGTTCTAAGTTTTTGAGCTCTTCGAGCCCAAAAGTCTGATAGAAGTTTAATAAAACAGTATTTTTTGAATTTTCAAACCGCAATTACTTCTGAATGAATAAACTGATTTTTATCGATCAAACCGAAAGATTTAGAGAAATTTAAAAAATTCACTTTTTCCGAATTATTTCGACAACGATAACTCACGAAGCAATCAACCGATTTTCGTGATCTTGGCAGCGATCGACGTGGTTTTTTAGGCTCTATAATTATTTTATTTCATCAAAAACGTTCAAAAAAGAAACTTTTTTCAAAATTTTTCGTTTTCGATAACTCCCGAACGAATCAACCGATTTTGACGGTACTGGTGGCAATCGACATGGTTTTTTGAGCTTAAAAGCGGATTAGTTTTTGGAATTGAACGGTAGAGCCGTTTAGAAATTATTGAAAAAAATTAGGAAAATGGTTGACCCTAAAGGCCATCCCTGCAACTTCCCGCTACGTCCATACCTAAGTGCTCAACAATTCACTTATTTTTTACGCTCTTAGAGCTCAAAAATATAATTTTTGTGTAATTTTAAGCTCTCTGAGCTCAAATGAATCGCTGTTCTGTGCTTTTGAGCCCTTCGAGCTCAAAAGGCTAATGGAAGTTTATAGAACACTATTTTTTGAATTTTCAAACCGCAATAACTTTTGAATGAATTAACCGATTTTCTCGTGGTTTACGGCATTCAACGCAGTTTTTTGGGTCTTTAAAAAATCTTCAAGCGTGAACTGGTCAGACTAAAAATTTCATAGAAATTCTGAAAAAAACATTTTTTCCAATTTTTTTCGACAACGATATCTCACGAACAGATCAACCGATTTTGACCGGGCTGGTAGCAATCAACGGGGTTTTTTGAGGTTAAGAGCTGATAAGATTTTGGAATTGATTCATCGATGATCGGTTCAGCTGTTTTAAAGATATTTAAAAAAAAAACGAATTTTTGGAAATTTTATTTTTGAGATTTCTCAAAATTGATCGACTCAAATTCTGTAAACTATCATCAGAATTCTAGGGGCAGAGGAACTCTTCAGAACGCCGCCTATTTCGATCGAATCGGATGATCCGTTCAAAAGTTATGAGAAATTTACATACACACACACACACACACACACACACACACACACACACACACACACACACACACACACATACATACGTACATACATACAGACACGGTTACATCACCGCGGAAATAGTCAGGACAGCTTTCTAGGACCTCAAAACGCCGAGATCTGATGAAAACTCGATTTTCGAAAAACGGGGTGAAAACAATAACTTCCCGATTTTTGGAAATTTTCAATTTTCTTAGCGGGAAGTTAAAAAAACCATTTTTTCAAAATATTATTTTTGAAATTTCTCAAAATCTAGCGAACCGAATCGATTCAAATTTTCACGAAATTTAATGGCAATGATACTCTTTAGATCTATTATATTATTATATTACTCGAAGCATATATGATACATTTATTTATATTAATCATACAATTAATTCATTCGAATTGGTTATTGCCATGTTTTATAATATTTCGCTAACTCTATTAACTTGTTAATATTTTAAAATCGCAAATCAATATTGATAGATATAAATAAAAATAAAGTATAAAATTTATGATGAAAATTTCGTAAGCTAAAAGTTGTTGTTTGTTGATATTGGATAAATATATTGAATAAATAATGATGTAGTCATATAGGCGCTGTACTGTAGATTTTTATATTATAATTTAAATGAAAAATATGAAAATATATCATGTAAGCAAACTATTTGTAACGTGATTGGTCAAATATATCATAAGCATGAAAATATATATAATTCCATACCAAAATTAAGACGCGAGCTTGCGCGCGTAACGTATCCTAATCTACACATATATACTATTGTAACGTATAATGCGTAACGCCAAAAATCCAAAAGCACGCCTCATAATGCTCATTTAATTTTTAAGAAAAAAATAAGTCGTAGTACTGATAAAAAATTCAACAAATTGTGCTTTAATTTAAACATTCGTGCTTTACCTTCTCGTTGAGCCCAGTCGACGATCGACGTCACCCTTGCCGTTTTGCTGGACAGACAATTGTCGAACTTGGCCGAGGAATCCAGCCCAAGTGTCTCGTAGTTGGCCTTTACGCCGCAAAGCAGTGCAGTCGCGCACGCCGACGACTCTCCTACCTGGGCGTCCATGTTGTAAGTCTGAAACAGAAAGATTTTAAGGTTAATAGTTTATTTCGAATAATAATCACGTTCTTATAAGTTGACTTATTGGTGGATAAGCTACCAGCTCACTCGATAAATATTAAAATTATCTTTTTAGTACTTTATTATCGCAATGACAGTATTATGATAATACTTGGTATTTTTCGACGGTAGACTCACTCCTCTGGAGCGCGAGGAGAATTTTATATAAGTCTACCCACAGATCGGGGATTTACATTAAGATGGTTTAAATATGACGAAGGTTATCTGGTACAACTAAGTTCGTTCTTTTCATAGTTATATTTATACTAATATATGTCTCCATCAATTTCCTTTGCAATTATATTCATAGTTATTATCTCTATAAATATTATAACATGTCGACAGTTTTAGTTTGAAGTCGTTAATATTAAGTCTTTAGTGCAATTTTAACTTTATTATTGACAGAGATAATTTATTTGAATATTTCCGGTTGATGTTAAAAATATCGCTAGATGGCGACACTCAAGATATCCTAAATTATTTAGACACAAGTGCAGGCAATAACCTCGTATCTCACTAAATTCCTTGTATTTTATTAATTAAATGTTTTTAATTGTTAATTTTTATTTCAATAATAAGAGAAAAATTAACTTTGTGCTTAAAAAAAACAGAAGTTCAAAATTATAAAAATAAAAAATTTACAATGTTTTTTTGTCTCTTCTAAAATGTTTCATTTTTCGGCATACGAGGTTCTCATAGTGAGCCGTCGATTTTTTATCTACTTTTTTCATGAAAATTTACATTAATTATTTTTTGAACAGTTTTCTTATTAAATATTATTAAATTACTGCACTAAACACCCTAAAATCATTAATTTAGCTTTGTAACGCGCAAATTCTATGTTAAAAACCTTCAAAATGGCTTCTCGTTCGCCATTGGTTCATCAAATGACGTTATCAACTCATCGACTAACGCCATTGGTTAATCAAATGACTTAAACAGAGAATTTGCCTCTAGCGCTATTAGCGCGGGAAATTTGAATCCAAATTCAGACTTTTGAGCAATAATTCGAGTTTATTTTAAATTATTTAGACATAAGTGTAGACAATAACCACGTATTTCACTAAATTTCATGTATTTAATTAATTAAATTTCTTTGAATGTTAATTTTCATTTCAATAATAAGAGAAAAATTAACTTTGTACTTAAAAAAAAAAACAAAAGCTCAAACTTATAAAAATAAAAAAGTTACAATGTTTTTTGTCTCTCCTAAAAAATTGCATTTTTCGATAATTGAGGTTCTCATAATAAGCCGTCGGTATATTACTATGGATTATTTATAATTATTAATAAATGGAACAATGTAAAAGTTAATTAAAAGCTTGTTTTCCAGAATTATCACAAAATTTAATGAACCCAAGGAATTAATTGGATGGATTGAGATATTAATTAAGACATTACAGGTTTTTTTTATTCAATAGCAAACTTTCAACGGATTGACGGGTATTAGTACAATAAATACTCTAATTAATGAAACCAAACAGGCAATTAAAATATTCCCATAAAGAGTTTGTTTTATTTGCGAAGTTTCGGTTGTTAAACTACTGAAAGGATAATGATCAGCATTGTTATTGGTAGTATTTTATAAATTTATAATAGAATCGTTTCACTGAACCTGAAATAATAATTTTAATGAAAACTTTCAATTATATCGCTAAAATCGATTCTGTTAAATTTCAGGTTATGAACGTGCTACGCCAATTCTCAGGTCTTTATTATCCCAATTATCGGAAAATTAAGTAAACTTGATATTCATCCGAAGCGTGACCAAGTGCTGAAGTACTTGTGCGTAATAGTCACGGCTCGTCTGCTCTAACTTGTCGGTCTAAATACCGGAAATTACCGAACGCGGTCGACCCGAATCCCACATAACTACTGTCCTCCGCACATATTGGCTCTAAGTTTACTGCATTCTGCATCTGATATTTATCCCCAGACCATTTCGCAGATAACTCAAACAAACTTACCTCGGGTGATAAAAACTCACCGGTGAATATTATCCGTTGTTAAGAAAAACAATTTAAAATTATTTAATCCATGCATAGTGTTTATCTACTTTATTAAAAATTTTAATAGTAATCTTTTATTAAAAAGTTGATGTAATGTTTTCATTGTTGACGCTTTTCGTTGCTATGATATCTACTTTGGCAACGGTTAATTATTAATGAATAAAATTTGTTAAAATATTGATTAATTAAATTGTCGATATTAATTATTTTAACAGAAGCGCGCAAAGTGCGCTCAATTTTATGCACGGAAAAAAGAAAAATGGAAAAATTACAGTTTCAGATTTTAATTATTACATTTAAGTGTAAATATTTTACTCTACAATGTAATTCTTATAAAATCTGTAATAATTACAATTTGAAACTGTAATTTTTCTAGTTTTCTATACGGAGCGCCACGTTTAAATTATATAATTTAATTTTTCCGTTTAGTTTTACAAAACAAAGCGTTGAAAGATTTTACGCATAATAATATAGCAATATTAAAATTCAGTTTTCTAAATTTACTGCTCGATTTTTTCCAATTTCGTTTAGCAAAATTACAAAACACTTTTTCTAATTTATTAAATATCGGCAATTTGTTTAACAATATTACAATTCAAATTTTATACAAAATAAATACTATTAAAAATTTTTTTGTTATTTTAGTATCTCGAGAAATAATATTTATATATATGATCATAGTAGATGGTTATGATCACTGAATGAGAAATTGAATTCGAAGTGATTCAACACGGAAAAATCCCATAATAAAATTGAGATGAAATGTATGTGAAACCAATCTATTCGTGTTGTGATTGGTCGAAAATAAATATTCTTATTCTGATTGGTTGAAAGTGAATATAATATACCTAAACGACACATAAATATATCATGCCAATGAATATGACGCGCGCCCTTGCGCGCGAAGATTAAATTCTAGTCCTAATATAAAATAGAGATGAAATGTATGTGGCATCAAACTATTCGTAACGTGATTGGTCAAATATATCATAAGCATGAAAATATATGCAAACTCTATAGTCAAGGCGCGCGCTTGCGCGCGTAAATTTGAATTCTAGTCCCATAATAAAATTGAGATGAAATGTATGTGAAACCAATCTATTCGTGATGTAATTGGTCAAATATATCATATGCATGAAAATATATGCAAACTCTATAGTCAAGGCGCGCGCAAATTTGAATTCTAGTTACATTATAAATAGTAATAAGTGTCAAATTTAAAACTAGAAAAATTGCAGTTTGAAATAATATTTTAAAAAATATAAACTGTTAATTACAACAGCTTTAAACTAATATTTACATTTTACAATGTAATTCTCACAAAATCTGTAAAAATTACAATCCTAAACTTTAATTTTCAATTTCCTTGTATGAAGCGCAACGTTACACATTATATTCTAATTTTCCCTTTATCTTTTTTCCGTAAATCCATGCAAAGTGTACATCTATGTATCAGCCAACTCAAGTCATTTTAAATTGTTTCAAATTGTTAATCTTATCAAATTAGATTTATTAATCAGAGATCAAAATAATAAAAAAAAAATACATTAAGGCCATTGGGCAGCCGAAATGGAAGTAGATTTCTCAAATAAAAAAAAATTATTTCTTATAAAATAATATAATACCTAACAATTCTTGAACGGCTGGAACAGTAAAACTGTTTCTTTGAACGAGCTCTGAAATGAGTAATATTGAAGCTATTATTACTTCTAACGAGTAAAATTTAAAGCTTAATAAAAGAGCTTTACGATGCAATTAATTGAATTTAAATATCTTGTCTAGTTCAATAATTGCACCAAGTAGAAGCTGTAAAAACATCAATTTTTACGATTTTCAAAATTTCCAAATTCTGTCATTTCCAAACTACTCTCCTGATTAAGCTCATTTTCGAGCTTAATCTTAGTTAAATATTTATCTAAGGTGGAATAGTTAGATTTTTATGAAATCTACTGAAAATTTGATTTAATATTTATTATATTTTTGTTTTTATATAGCGCTAATTCAAATTTTGGAAATTTGAAACTTTATGAAGCCCCCGCTTTCGCTAAATACAGAATTAAAGTGAAAATCACATTTACTCTAACAGTTTCAAATTTTTTAAATTGTTTTCCTCAATAAGAGATTAAATATTGCACGTTACAATTATTTTTACTAGCAACCTCACTTTAATAATGTTTTTTTTTTTTGCAGATAACTCAAACGCTTAATGGAAATTCCAATTACATAAAATGACTATCCAACGAAATTTATGTTCTCATATAGGATTTTCTTTCGCAACTGCTCGATATACGAGGAAGGGGATGTATTTTTGAGCCCTCATCCCTCTGTTACTGTACCAGACTTTAAGTATTTGTATTTTGTATTCCTACAAGTGTACTATTTGTATTTGTAGATGAAACCTGAGTACAAATCGAGTGTGCACACATATTCGTGAGCTCAACTCAGTTAAATATCTCTATATATATACTTCCATATATATACACGAATTAGGATCAGGGTTTACCTCCTGTCGTTCTTTTGATATCGTGCCAGAAACACTTGCTCCATGTTTCAAAAGTCGCGTATTATTTGCTACCGAGTGTTTCTACTTCTTGAGTCTTCTCGCGAGTCTCTCAACCGTTCATACTGGATTTAACTATTTTTTAAAATTTTTTATTCTTCTTTACCCGGGATTACTTGTAAGCGCATCCGAGCTTTCTACATTTGTGAATTCTTATTGTCATCACGTACTTAAACAAGAAAATAACACAGAGAAAGTTGATTAAAAAAGTCATAAAAAATTTCATCAAATCCAACAACTTTGTCTTCATTTTTTCCTTCACTTTGTCCAGTTAAAACTTTAATTCAATTGGGTCATGAGTTGTCCAAGGACAAAAAGGATCCAGTGGACTATAAGGTTCGACTAGATTTCTCTTTGATTTGCTTGATACGTGAACG